GAGGATTTCAATAGAGATCGATACTGGTTCTAGAAATTGCAATAACAATATAATTGTACTATGTATTACTTGTATTGTGTATGTAATTTGATATTAAAAAAATATTGTAATATTTGCAACATGCACACATGTTAGTTAGTTAACTATACATTAGTTATTTTAACAATTAATAAATTACACTAAAAAGGGTATAGCGTCAACCATGTCAACTACCAAAATTTTTTTATCAAGAATTAGTTAATTCAACTAATGTTTAGCTAAACTAACTGAAATGTTTAGTTGCACGTATCAAACTAAATACTTTTCCGGATTAACAAATTTTGTTCTCAGTGCACATAATCAAAATGAATGAATTTTCACACGTCTAAAAAATCTTTTTTATTTCAAGATATTACCTCTTCCGTGAGGATTTCACCGATGTAACAATATATAAATATATTGGTACTTGCTGTTATGTATCCCATAAAATGTGATAATATTTTTGCCCTATCGAGCACACTCCAGTTCTGGAAAATAAATTGCTAGCTTTATGTACTGCAGAAAAATAGAGTAATCTGCTTTTGCGGGATCTCAATTATGTTATCTGAGATATGAGAGAAAGTTTTATTTATCTTTAGCATACCATAATAACGTAATATCCAAATAAACACATATTCATCGTGCATCCCATCAATTCTGCTAGACAGGCTTTATTCATAATACTTTCTATTTGTTGTACAAAACTGAAACATATTTCTGCAGTTACAACACATCAGGCGTGATGATACATTTCTTTTGCAAAATTTATTTTACACGATCTACGATTTGTGCATGTTAATATTCGGAATATTTTTTTTACAATCTTTGCGTACTGTGTAAAATATGAAGAACGTTTAAATAATAGGAATACATTCATCTGTGTGTATATGTGTGTGTATCTTTCCGTCAGCAATTTGGGAGCCGCGGTTTCCGAGTTGAAATTTTAGACCTATTTTTGACCTGAATTTTCTAACATCTGTAAATGCTAGCTATAGAGGATCAATGTAAGTTTAATTTACACGGAAACTTTAGTTCTATTTAGCGTTCTAAGATAGCAGAAAACGCACAAAATGCCGCTTGTAGGTTCTAAAGAGGACTTCAGTAAAGACTCGTAAAAACCTTCGGGTCCTCTGGACCTGATCATCCATAAATTAAACCTACATTGATCCTCTAGCATCTACAGATGTTAGAAAATTCAGGTCGAAAATAGGTTTAAAATTTCGACTTCACCTACGATAACATATGTTGCAATAATTAGTTGTGGCGCGCGCATCATTTAGCTATAAAAGATATAGTTTTGCGACAACAATAAGTTTTGCTGAGTTTTTTTTCTATCCTTTCTCATGTATACATAAATTTATAATAGGTAGATATATAAAAATATTTTAAGTTTAATTTAGAGTACCAAAGTAGACGTTAAATTGAATACTGATGTCAAAAGTAGGCTCCAAATTTCGACTCGGGATAGCGTAAAATATAAGTTTATACAAAATAGTGTAATGAAAATGTTTATTTATCTTTCATGTTCAATAAAAAAGGACTCGCACAAAGTGCAATAAAAACTCTATATCTAATTGTAAGTAAAATACCTGAGGATTCTGCAGTGATGTTTCACGATGGCTGCAAGTCTTTGTTCTGCTAAATGAGTTTTCTTTTCCTCGGTAAACTCGTTTAACCACGTATGCATTACATTCAGTTGACCACAAGCATGCATCGCGAAGACAGCAGCGAGACTGCAAATAGTTACTATAGAGGAAATTATTACAAACATCGACAAGAT